AAATTTTATTTTTTTCTAAATATGTGATTGTGTGTGTGTGTGTGTGTGTGTGTGTGTGTGTGTATATATTAGTAAATTAATTAAATTCTTAATTTAAGTAAATATGTTTTAGAACAATTAGCTTTAATACAATTGACAATGTGAAAGTGACATTTTTAAGTTGTGAAATATTTCATTTTAATTTTGTTGTCTTGACAAGTCTAGTAAATATTAATATTTATATCTATACACAATATACTTCAAATAATTTTAATACATAATTTTTATACATTAATAATAATTATTATTATTATATGCATTTAATTATGTGTGCGTGTGTGTGTGTGCAATGTTTTAGTAAATTGGAAATACTTATGCATAAATATGCACATAAATATGTATATTATATATTTATATACAAAATTTAAAAGTGAATGTTTATACATAAATATATATTTTTGATAATAAATATTATATTATACTTAAATTAATATAACAAATAACATCAATACTTTTTAAAGACATAAATACTAAAATATTATGTGTGTGTGTAATTATGTCTACAAGTTAAAAACTTTCCAGATAATATTTTGACAATAATATTAATAATTCACTTGTTTAATTTAGGAAAATATTATGTTATTATAAATATATATATATATATACAGCAAATACAGGCATCTATATATGCACCATAAAGTTTGAAAACCTCTGGCCTAGGTAATGTCAATAAACAGGAAGTTTGTTTCAAATTTTGATAAAAGATTATGATAGATTAAAAAAACATTTTTATCTATCATCTACATTCTCAACTTTTCTAAATCTGACAGTTTAATACAATTTAGACAAACTATAGATCAAACAGAAGACAGCAAACGAGACATGAAAACATCCAAGATATTAAAAAAAAAACTCCTTTCCCTTGCTATTAAAAACAAATGCTATCCCTGTGAAATAAACCTTGTCTGCCTGCGCTTAATGTCACAGTGAGTTACATAAGCTCTAAAGTGGCCTAGTCAGGGAAAAAGGCGGCACACAAACGATCTGTCAAGACTTTGCAGTGGGCTACACGTCAACAGGACCGAATGGGAGGAGGGGGCCAGTATTGTAAAAGAGCGCAAGGACACCCCAGTCCCTTTTATGAAGACCTGACATTGTTCACAGTCTCTGGAGACGGGTGACGGACAGCTGCATCACTGTGGAGACCAAAGAGCCAGCCAGCAGTGACGTCAACCGAATCTCCCTGATTTAATAATTACATAACATGAGCTGTAGAAATTAGTCATCACAGCTATGAAAAAAAAATGTTTAAGCCAGCTTATTAAAGGGGTCATACGTGAAACTTGCTAATTAGCACATTATTAGGAAAGGCGATTTGCAAAGATTCGCTAAAAAAACCTTACACTCACTTCTTCTGTAGGTGAACCTGGATCACGAATGATTCGTGCGAACATAGACGCATTTATGTAGATCGGGGGCGCATTCCCTTCAAAAACAAACATAATCCACTGCGTCTTCAGCAGCTCAGATGTCGGGAGTAAACGACGACTGCTATGTTCATTATAACATCCAACAACAAAACACTTCAGTCGCTTAGGAGTCATTCTTGTTTACATCTGCTCCAGCGGTGTAACAATGGCGGACTGATGACGGCTCAGTCAGGGCGGGTCTAAGGTAAGACACCAGTCCAGTCTGTGCTGAAACTCTACTGTCAATCAAACTATCGTGGGAGGGGCCTGTCTGTGTGACGTCACACAGACAGGCATCTGAGATCGGCTCGATTTGAGAAAGGGGTAAAGATTTTAGTAGATTAACAAAAAACCACTGGGTGGATTTTTATCATTATAGGGTGGTTGTGTACACACACTGCCAACACATTTCAGTTCAAACAACTTGTAAAAGTGCATGTAGCATTATATGACCCCTTTAAAGGCCAACCGAGCTGGTGTTCCCAGCTTGGGAACTCAGACTGGTTTGAACCACCTTAGGCTGATTTTTCTTTTTGAGGCAAACCTACTTGTTTCTTCTCTTTTCACCTCTTTCTTCTTTCTGTTTCCCTCTTTGGCCTCCTAAGCGAGGCGGCCGCTTCGTTCTCAGACGGCTCAGTTCTCTGCCTAGCAAAACTCTGATACTCTGAATCAGAGGGGAGCATTTAGGCTTGACCTTGTCGGCACTGCTGTCGTGCCAGGTGAGCAACATGAACCCGTTCCCTGATGTGTAGGAGCTTTGTGCTGACTGCCATCTGCATGTCAATGCCAAATATCCCCTTTGAAACTGGCAAATGGCTTCGTTTGCCCTTATAATCCTGTAAAGTGGCTGACAAAGTGCATGGATGTTTTTTTCACCAAGCCACAACAAATACAGTTTTATCGAAGGTTTATTCAGAAAGGTGAGTTTTATTTGCACACATGCATAAAAATGAATTCCCGTATCACATGGCAAAGGATTCTTTGGATTGGCATGACACACTACTGAATAAACGGCGACCATAGAAACAATTTAACAGCTTAACAATATGGCCTGGCTTCATGTGTCTTTGACTTCCGCTATACCAATGAAAGCAGTACTCATGGCCACGTTGCCATGGCACATATCCACTATGAAATGAGAGCCACTGATTTCTGTCTGAAGTTTACGTCATCATGAAACCTAATTTTATTTATTTTTCATTTCCACACTAAATAAGTGTTTCTTTTTATTTTCCTTGAACTGCTAAACCAGGTCTAGTTTCTTCCACTGTTGTGATGATGAGAGAGACATTAAAAGAAATAGCAGTTCAAATATTTGTATAATATGAGTTTTAAAAGCAGATCATACTGGGGCTTATTTATTTATTTATTTTACTTGCATATGTTTTCAAAGTTTTAACTGATTATAATTTTTTATACCGTTGCAAGATTTAAGCATGCAAAATTCTAGATTTCGTGCAATTTAGAGTAAAGACTAATTAAGAAATAAAATGAAATGAAATAATCAATACATTTAAAATATTGGTCATCATAGTAATTGTTAGCTGTATTAGAGATGTTTATTTTTACAGAATAAAATAATTATTGGTAATATCAAATTTGTAAGTTCTGTATGAGCATCACAATTATTAATATCTCTCAATACAGCTAATAATTAAGGGAGAAAATCCTAAAATAGGGAGAAAAAAGGAAAACCCATTTATTTCATTTTAATTATTATTACCATATTAGTTATCAGCCAGTATTAGAGATTTTTGAATTTATTGATATTGGTTGACACTGGATATTTAATCGTTCATGTTCCTATCTTCTATTTTGCCATAATTTAATGCTCAAAGTTAATCTTTAAAAACAATAGTAATATAATAAATCTCTTATATATACACAGTGGTGGCCAAAATTATTAGAACACCTGGACAGACCTGAAAATATTGACCTATTTTTGCCTCCAAAACATGATTTCATTTCATAATGTTCATGAAACATGCAGATGGTTGCTCTGAACAAAACAAATATCAGATGAAGTGAGTCGTACTGTTTTTATCCACGTTTAACTTTAATATTTGGTATGTCCACCTTTTGCAGCAATTACAGCAGCACATCTCTCTGGCATAGTGTCAATATATTTCCTCAAAACTTCTACACTAATGTTATCCCATGCCTTCTGCAACTCAAGCTAAAGGCTTTCCTTTGAATGTACAATAGATCTGTCCAGTTTATTTTCTAACTGGTAGTTCCGGCAATAGTTAGAAGAATGTTTAGTGTCATTGTCCTCTTGGAAAATAAATCCAGGCCCAATAAGACGACATCAATTTTCACCAAGTCACCTGTTCCTGAGGTTGAAATGGCAATGAAATTTCAGGCGTTTCACTCTATTGTTCTCTTTCAGTAATGGTTTCTTTGCTGCTATTCTGCCAATAAGTCCTTCTCCAAGTTTCCGATTCACAGTTCTTGAAGACACTGTTGCACTATTAGTCATTGTGGTGTTGATCTCGTCACGCAGTTCTCGTGAGGGCTTTCTTCGATACTTAAGACTGAGAATATTGAGATGCTTCACATGTCTGTCTGAAAGTTTTTTTGTACCTCTCCCTTTTCGGTTCTGGTGTGAATTGGTGGCATCATGGCGGTCTAAAGTGTACTTTACAGTGCTTGGATTGCATCTCACATCCTTGGCTATGTGTCGGTAAAGAGGACATGCCAACTAACATGAGGACAGGCCAGCCAACATGCCTAACCTGAACCCCATATGGAATCTATGGGATATTTTCAAGAGAAAGATGAGAAACAGTCGATCCAACAATACAGACGAGCTGAAGGCTCAATAGTGCCTCAGCAGTGTCACAGGCTGATCGCTTCCATTCACACCTCACTGATGCTGGAGTTTGTGCTAAAGGAGCCCCGAGTCCGACCAAGTATTGAGTGCATAAATCAACATACTTTAAAGAACTTGAACTTTTCTGTTTTGCAAATCCTTTTTTTGATTGATCTTAGGAAATATTCTAATACTTTGAGATACTGGATTTTTGACTTTCATGAGCTGTAAGCTCTAATCATCAAAATTAAAACAAAAAAAACTTTTTACATGTTTTACTTTACATGTAATAAATCTAGAATATATGAAAGCTTCACTTTTTGAAATAAGTTACAAAAAAAAAAAAAAGAGAACTTTTTCACGATATTCTAATTTTTTAGATGCACCTGTGTGTAGATAGATAGATAGATAGATAGATAGATAGATAGATAGAGCGGGTAAAATAAGTACTGAACACGTCACCATTTTTCCCAGTAAATATGTTTATAAAAGTGCTGTTGACATGAAATTTTCACCAGATGTCAGTAACAACCCAAGTAATCCATACATACAAAGAAAACAATACAAATAAGTTCAGAAATTAAGTTCTGTGTAATAAAGTGGAATGACACAGGGAAAAAGTATTGAACACGAAGAAAAGAAAAAAAAGTATTGAACACGTCACCATTTTTCTCAGTAAATATATTTCTAAAGGTGCTGTTGACATGACATTTTCATGACATTTTCACCAGATGTCGGTAACAACTCAAGTAATCCATACATACAAAGAAAACAAAAAGATGTTCAGAAATTATGTTATGTGTAATAAAATGGAATGACACAGGGAAAAAGTATTGAACACATGAAGAAAGGGAGGTGCAAAAAGGCATGGAAAGCCAAGACACCAGCAGAAATCTATCAGTAATTAGAAAGCTCTCTAGTCAGTGGAAATTAATATTAGCTGGTTCAGTCCCAACACCTACAGTACCAGGATGATGAAGATGAAACAAGGGTGGAAATTTAGCGAGACAATGATCCCAAACACACAGCCAAGGAAACTCTCAATTGGTTTCAGAGAAATAAAATAAAGCTGCTAGAATGACCCAGCCAATCACCTGACTTGAATCCAATAGAAAATCTATGGAAAGAACTGAAGATCAAGAGTTTATAGAAGAGGCCCACAAAACCTTCAAGATTTGAAGACTGTGGAAGAATGGGCCAAAATCACACCTGAGCAATGCATGCGACTAGTTTCTCCATACAGGAGGCGTCTTGAAGCTGTCATTACCAACAAATGTTTTTGTACAAAAAGCATTAAATACATTTTCAGTAGTTCAATACTTTTCCCCTGGGTCATTCCATTTTATTACACAGAACTTAATTTCTGAACTTATTTGTTTTGTTTTCTTTGTATGTATGGGTTACTTGGGTTGTTACCGACATCTGGTGAAAATTTCATGTCAACAGCACTTTTAGAAACGTATTTACTGGGAAAAATGGTGACGTGTTCAATACTTATTTTATCTGCTGTATATGAAGAGTTCATTTGCAAAAACAGATAACTCTGTTTTTAACAATTTTCAAAAATCATGTTTTTTCACTGTGCATTCCAATTAATCTCAATCAAACTGCAGATGGGTTATTGTGATTAGGTAAAAAAAATAAAAAACAGATAACTAACATAATAAAGCACAATAACCACATGATAACATAATAAAAAACATGATTTTTGAAAATTAAAAAATTAGTTATCTGTTTTTGCAAATAAACTCTTCATACATACATCTATATATATATATATATATATATAATTTTTAATTTACACAAATTGTTATATCAGTGCACTCACACGTCCACAGGCACTCGCAGCAGAATGGGCAGTACTGTGGCCTCCTCATTCATGTTCATGATACGAGACTCCAGCAGCAGGATGATGGTCAGGCCGGTGCGAAATACAGCCTGCAGACCTATAAAGAACATAAGAAACTGATCAAATAAGGTTCAAGAAACCTGTTTGAAAACAATAATTTTCTCTTCTGTTTAGTGACGCTAAAGGTGCATAAATGACACATTTCACCTCTAATAAGCAAGCATGGCAGCTTGACATTTGAGGCGTTATTATTCTAAGACAAACAGGATAAAGGGGTGTAATACCATGCAGCATGATAAGATCCCAAATGGCCAATACTGAGTCCCAGCACGGCAGCGAGGTGAAGAGAGTGAGAAACCACTGCATGATGAAATGTAGAGAAGACACCCCAAGAGTCTCCTACCATCAGAGACAACAACACACTCCTGTCAACATCTACAAACAGGTCATATTTCACACAAACAAACAAATCAATTAATAAATAAATATTTTAAGCTTGAAAGCTCCAGTCTCACACTGTAATTTAATGAAAAAGAGCGACTGGCACATTTTGATAAACTTCTTCATTTTTGTGTTCCACACTAGAAAGGAAGTCATTTAGGTTTGTTACATCATGATTGCGACTAAAAAGATTTTTAATTATGTTTTAGGTATGTCGCTGCACTTTGCCCTCTTTGTAAGTTAACAGCATCATATTTTCTCCTGTGCTGTGGTCTAATAGCTCAGCTTTTCAGACAGCTGCGCTGAGTCAACACACAACGAGAAGGAAATCCCTTAAGAGTTCACCAAGCTGCACAAATGCTCTGAGGGGGCGGACAGCCAAAACTATAAAAAACAGAAGAGCTCATTTGAAATCCCTCAGGAAAAGGTCTATAAGACACAGTGACAAATCTGTGAGGGGCGTTAAACGTGTGAGAGGCTTCTCAAGAGAAAGGCTGTGATCTGCATAAACTCTAGAGAACTGAGACATATTAACCACTGTGTGTAATGCAGCATGTGCCTGTTTTTATATTCAGACATTTTCTGAGTTGAGGCCAGAGTTTAAGACCTCTTCCTTAGTTTAGTAGGCCTTAGTTTTAGTTTTAGTTTTAGTCTTAGTATTGTTTTCTGATTACTTTTAAACAAACTTGTTTTGAACTTACCATTAAAATAATGGTAATGTAAATAATGGCTTAATGTACGAACCGCAGTGGGTTTGTGAGTTGATAAAGAAAAAGCTAATAATTAAATAAATCATAAAAATGTAAAATAAGTTATTTAAACTCTTGAAAGCTAAAAATTTTTATATTTTATTTATTTACATATAAACATATTTGTGACCATCAAATGACATTGAACTGTAAACCAAGGTTATTTTCGTAAACGAAAACTAAAACGATTGATGAAAAAACAATTTCGTAAACTGAAATAAAATAAAAATGACAAAATAATTGAAAAACTAAAACGAAACGAAACTAACAACAGTTATTGAAAAACTAAATGAAATAAAATAATAATTATCAAAAATAAATAATCGTTTTCGTAATCATTACATTCTCATCCCTTGGCGGAAAAATATATGAGCTGTGTGGCGCCGGCGGTTTAGGGAAATACCTGTAAATGGCATATCGCGCACGTGAGGTTATCTTATGGAGAGACGCAAAGCAGTTTAAAGCAGAGTCCTGCACGGGTCCTGTTTGGTAAACGTGCACCAGCAGTAGCTACTTAACAGAACACTCGACACGTTATTCGACAGCAGCACTAATTTAATTTTGTACCAGACCAGACCCATTTGACAAAGACTGCGAGTCGCGAACCGCACCTGCATTAAATCTATTACATCAGATAGGCAAAATTATTTATTTTCTCATGTAACACAAGCAATCAAACCAAAATTAGGCATTCAAAGTTGGTGCTTTGAAGAAAAACAGACACGCAGCGCAACGTAATAATTAACAGAAAAAAAGAGGAGAACGCGCATCCTTTCTGAAAATAATACAAAACTTTAGCATAGCATCTTGTGATCACTCTGCCAGGCTTTCGGACAAATGTGCATAGGCTAAATCACATCATAAACGCTTATAATTCTTAATAAATGAAAAGAACATTCAAATATGAGCCTTAATGCGATTGCCGTTATTATTGAATTTCACTAGTCCCAGTTATGATTTATGCGCACTGCGCAGTTGTTCACGGAAAAGTGAGCAAGACACGACAGTTACAATATTGTTAAAAAAAAGAAAAAAGACATCTAACCATCATAACCAAATTAGGCTACATGTATTGTCATAGTAAATATCTCAATACACATCATTAGATATGACATTAAGGAAAAAAAAGACGAGAACGCGCATCCTTTCTGAAAACAATACAAAACTTTAGCATAGCATCTTGTGATCACTCTGCCAGGCTTTCGGACAAATGTGCATAGGCTAAATCACATCATAAACGCTTATAATTCTTAATAAATGAAAAGAACATTCAAATATGAGCCTTAATGCGATTGCCGTTATTATTGAATTTCACTAGTCCCAGTTATGATTTATGCGCACTGCGCAGTTGTTCACGGAAAAGTGAGCAAGACACGACAGTTACAATATTGTTAAAAAAAAGAAAAAAGACATCTAACCATCATAACCAAATTAGGCTACATGTATTGTCATAGTAAATATCTCAATACACATCATTAGATATGACATTAAGCACAACTTGTGTAGATTTATTTAGTAAAAAGGCTTGACTGCTTCATTTTGGCGTATATTTGTATACTTTTACCATTTAATCAATCTCAGCATGCGTTAATTTTGTGTCGCTAGACATTTGCATCACTAAGGCTAAATTATGCCTAAGTCTTTCTTTGGCTGCGCTCTGGAAGTGATCTGTTAATTCTGCTAACCTTTAATTAAAACTGAAACTAAAACTGAAACTAAACTATATAAAAACTAAATAAAAATGTGTTCACAAAATAAAAACTAAACTAAAACTAACAACAATATTAATGAAACTAATAAAAACTAAACTGAATTGTATAGCAAATTTGAAAACGATATTAAAATAAAACTAATTAAATTCAAAACTATAATAACCTTGCTGTAAACATGTGAATGTGTTGTTAAATTATTGAAAAATAAAAATAAAAAAAGATATTTCAAGTAAATATTTCATGTCAGTACTTGATTTTTGGAATCGGATTACAAAATCCAGATTACATGTAATCAGTTACTACTCAGCTCTATATATAAATGTACATATATATAAAAAAGTTTAATAGAGGCCAATTTAATCTTAATTTCATGGGCAGAAAAATAATACGTAATAATATATTTATTAACATTTTTATTGAGTGATTTTTTATTATTTTTTAAATGTAATTTATTTTTTTAATTGAGTGAGATTTTTTAATTAAAAAAAAAAAATGTACACCATAATTCTCACCAAGTGCTGAAAGAGCAGAGGTTTCCTGTGCTTCAGGAGCTGATGAAAAACCAAAGCTTGATGCTGAATCCTAAAAATAAAATAAAATAAATTATTAAAATAGATAAAAAGTTGATTAACCAACCAATATGTAGCCTATTTTCAATTATTGGCATTTGCAAAAAATAAATAAATAAATACATAATATTAAAAAAATTTAACTGGCTGATGCGTGTTATATTTCCAAAATCTTCCAACAGCTCTGTCAACAGATGTTTTTAGTGTAACTTGAGTAAACCTTTGTAAAATAAGTGTTTATTTCTTTATTTTATAAACAGCTGAAGGTCTTACTTCTTCAGAGAAGAATCAATGAGCTCTGAGAGATATTTGGGATTCTCTAACAGAGCAACCAGAGCCCAGAAAGCCTCCTCCTCAGACAGGATCATCAGGAGCACAGCAGCTATATAGGACATCCCTGAGCAAAAAACAAACCTTGAGGCATCACATACTCCCATTATGACCTGAATGTCAAGGGCAAACTAACTAAATTAGCTCCACAGAAAACAATTCAAACAAAATTATGACTATGACATGCAATAGCAACAAGATAGCACTTGACTGCTCTCTTGAGACCGAACCTCAGTATATACTGAAGTTAAAAATGTGTGACAGAACCAGTAAAAGCACAGGTGCAAAGTTCACGAAGATTTCAGTAATGCCAGTGACCTCATTTGTGGAAGTACAGGCAGTTCATTACCTTGTACGTATCCAATCTGGGGATTATATCGGGCAAATGCGGTAAGAACTCGGAAAAGTTTGGCCTGGCCCTCAATAGCCTCCGGACGGTCCCCCATCAGAGTGCAATGGGTCGGAAATGACCTTCCTATATAGACAAATATGGAACTATCAGCTGAACTACCAAAACATCTCAAACATATATACAAAAAGTTCTAGAAAGATCACATAAAAAAAGTTAAAAAAAAAGATTGGTAATAACGTGCAGTAGTTATTAAATAGGAAGTATTTCAGGTTTTTGTAGCTCAAAAGATGGGTCCAGCAACACCAAGGATATAGATTTGATTCCCAGTGCCTTGGTGCACTTTGGCTTAAATTTTGGGCCAAATGCATTAATGTACAGTTCATGTGCAAGAATAGAGGGAAAGTGTTTATGCAGCGCCCCCATGTGGTTTTCAGAATATTGGCAAAGTTAAAAAAAATCTGCCATCTGAGCCAAATTACTGCTTTCACCTGAAAGTCCCATTCTTTTAAAAATGAGACAGTCACCCACAGATTTTAGCAGAAAGAAAAAAATTAACTTAATATACACATGCATTTTAATTATTAACATTTTATAAATTACTTAACACTGGACTTCAAGCAACTTGGGCTATGAGCTTCTCCAACCTTCCTCCAGACTCTAGGACCTTGGTTTCCAAATGAAATACAAAACTTGCTCTCATCTGAAAAGAGGACTTTGGACCACTGGGCAACAGTCCAGTTCTTCTTCTCCTTAGCCCAGGTAAGACGCCTCTGACGTTGTCTGTGGTTGAGATGCACCTGTATATATATATATATATATATATATATATATGGAATTATATATAGTTCTTTTGTACCTTCTCTTCAATAAAAACCCTAAAAAAAATAATGGTAATAAGCAAAAACTGCTTTTTATATTGATAATAACAAGAGCCATTATTAATAACCGAGTACCAAAATTTGATAACACTAAATGAGCATTTTATAATGATTATAGGTGACAATGATAGCAGGATAATGGCTGCTGAAAATTCAGCTTTGCCATCAGAGGAATAAATGACACTTATTAAAATAGAATACAGTTATTTTAAATGTTAATAATAATTCACAATATTACTGTTTTAACTGTATTTTTACCAAATAAATGCAGCCTTAGTAAACATAAAAGACTCATTATTAAACATTATTAAATACTAATCATTTCAATCTTTTATTATTCCAAACTTATTGCATTTGTTTAATTAATTCAAATAAAAAATATTCACGTTAATGTAAACAAAATAGTCCAAATGAATGTACGGAAGATATCATGCAATTTCAGTGGTCATCCAAAGGCACAACTCACGCAGGTCGAGGGCGATCTGTTTGAAGAGCGTCAGGTCAGCGCTGAGGAGATCTGATGCCTGTCCGCTGCTGATCTCATTCTCGGTGTCCACTAGAGAGTCTATAGTAGGGATGATACTGTACTCACTGACTCCAAGATCAACCAGAGGTTTACGGATCTCAGCCTGACATGCCTTAAGTAAACAATCAAAATGGGTTACTACAAAGGAAAACGAGTTTGCATAGTAATAAAAATACATATATTGATGGGGTTGCACCTCATAATCAAAAGAGCTGGCAGCTCTGAGACTGTCGATATTTAGGAGGCATTTCCAAACTCGTCCACGTATTGCTGGAGGAATACCAATACGAATAAACCTCTCGATCTGAAATTAGGAAAAAGGAAAGTGATAAAAATTACTAATACAAAAAAATATTATGCAAACCATTTTAAATGCAGTGCTGGGCAAAATGCCTCATTTAAAATTTGTCTCAGATTTTTAACTAATTAGTTGAAAGTGGGTTTGGACAAGTTCTGACAGGAAGTTATTTGAATAAATTCAACAAAGAATATAATTTGTCCAACACAAGTTTTGCTTTAAAACATAAGTCATTAATTCTGATGTGAAAAAATATTTTATAGTACATGTATTTCTCTAAAGACAAGAGATGAAAGATTACACTTAAAAAGTTAAAATATATACATTTCTGTGAATTTAAATGGATTCTCAATGGTTCTGAATGGTGCTCAACCCATAGTTATATAGAAACATGCACACCTGATTTCTGCAGATAAAACTGGATCCATTCCAGTAACTGAGAATTTCACACAGTTCCTTCACTTTAACTGGATTAGGCTGAGGATAACTGAGGAAACATAGTTAAAGTGTTACATGCCAACACATCACACAACATAGTGTTCATTCATGTGAACTCTGAGCTAGTATATTAGTATAAGTAACATCTACCTGTAGTCGTGACATCTGTGTTGGAGCTTCTTGTCTTTTTTCTTACTGAGAGCAAAGCCGAATTCATCAAAGCTTACCGAGCTGCTCCGCCGCGACGCGCTGCTCGCTCTCCTCAACATGATTCTCATACAATCAGTTTGATTCCATTCTGGACGCGCGTCCTTCCATCTGCGCACTGTACACTATAACCGACGCTTGAACTCAGCGCCAAGACCAACACAATGAAACTACTCTTCAAAATAAAAGTCTCGACACGTACCGAAAAGCTTTAAAATAAATTATATTAAATTTGACACTGAAAAATATCTTATTAAAATAACATACAATAAAATGTATGAATGAAATCTGAATCGACGACTTTCCTCTGCTGAACCCACAGAAATATTTACTTTTTTGTTTTTGAGTCTATTACATTCCACTGGGTGGCTGAGGCCCACTAAAGACAAAAAAATAAATCAAATTTCCTCAATGATTTAAATTCTATTACATTTATATAAATGAACAATAAAAATGCTTAATGATATAAGCAACATATTTCATCTGATAAATCAGGAGCATTATATGAACTGTGACAACCTCTCACTCAAAAATGTTCCATTTTATTCAACATTATGTAACATTTCGAACATTATAACAAGCTATGCTGTTATGATAAACATAATTACTTGGAAATATGGCACAATAGGTTTATACATAAAATAAATACATGTATAAATACATAAAGTGTGCCACATTTCTGAGTGATGTTATTTTAAACTGTACAATTAACTACATTGTTAAAATATGCTGTTATGATACCGCCTCAAACCAAGGCACCAGATGCTACTAAGGCATTGCACAATAACTACTATGCTGTAATGATATCTAAATAAAATTCTGTATGCAGTAATGATACTGTATATAAATAAACTATGCTGGAAATTCTGGGACCATGATGACAGGTGGCAAGGCATTTGGGGACTATCCAGGTGCTACCAAGGCTTTCCAGCTCCAGAAGACACTAAGACATGGAGGTATGGCCATCGTCATATCAGCTGAATGAAGATGAGGCAAATTCTGTGGCTTAAACCATGACTGGAGAAATATTTCATCCTTCAACTTTGACTGTTCTAAGCTGTAGGTCAGAAAATCCAGGAAAATTCCTACACTTGGCTCAGATGTTACTTTTCCCGCCTTTTCACTTAGTTCTGTTTTGTACGATTTAGAATCGAATAGACAGTTGGTCTTTTTTGTTGTGATAAATGCCATCTTGCCAGGCTCAAACCATTCGCCCCAACCTATCTCCAGCAGGTCCTTGTTTTTGGGATAGTGTCCACACACCTTTACGAACAGGAGCACTCCCAGTGACCATACGGTAGCAGGGTTCCCGTAGTACCTGCCCTCCTAGTCATACTCAGGAGAAAATACTCTGCTGTGCCTGAAGGAAAGACATTTTTTTTTATAAGTGAGCTTCAAAATAGTCGGATATGGTTTAATTCATCACTAGAATCCTAAACTACACATTTGATTAATAATACATACTCCAGAAGATGTCCTAGCCAGTATCCCTCATCAGATCCCCACATCCGAAGTCGATCAGCTTGACTTCAAGGGTTTTGGGATTGATCAAGAGGTTGTCCAGCTTGATGTCACGGTGAAACACTCCACAGCACATGTATGCGGAGTACGTTGCCTGCCACATGACCAGCCGCGCTACATCCTCATTGAGGGTACCAGCACAACGCTCAACATAATCAAACAAATCTTCACAAGGTGAGGGACATTCCAGGACCATGATGTATTGGTCAGGCTGGTCCTGCCAGTCCAGCAGCTCAATGACCTGAGGAACTTTAGGATCCTTATTAACCAGGAGTAACAGGCCGACCTCTAATGGAAGAGGTGCAGGATCACCAGGCTAGAAGAAAGATCATTTTTAGGATTGTTATTAGATGGAAGCGTTATACTAAATATGGATCCAGTCCAGTCTTGGATAAACTGTTTACAATTGAAATCTGTGAAAAAAGTAGTCTACTTACAATGTTGATGCAGACCATGTTCCTCGTCTTCTTTTGCCACCTGTTCAATAACAAAAAAATGGTTACAATTTCATTTTAGACATGTCAAGTGCACTAGATAGTGGACAAAACATACACCAAGAGGACTTGAAATGGACGGAGTGAGATAAAAGAATTTGCTAGCTAAATATTCAAGATAAAATCACGATACCTCAAGGCCATTCTCCAAGCGTTTCCCTTCATAGACAGCGCCAAATCCTCCCTCCCGAGCAATCGGCCGACTTTATTCCGGCTCAAAACGTTCCGATTATTTACAGGTTGACTGGAATGAGGCTCTTGAAGACCTCCGTCTGCTAAAGCACAGTTAATGTCCTGAAGAAGACTTTGCTCTAAAGTGGAAAATACCAAATGTTTCTTCAGTTAGGGCCATTTTTGATTAAGGTTAGGCTTATTCTCAACAAGCATATGTGATTTCTCTCCAGTATAATGGCACATCAGCCTGCTCCTGCACTTGCTGAGCCTGACCTTGACCTGGGCTGCTTTTCTGGTCAAAGAAAAACAAAGAGGATGCCTCCTTTACTCTATTGGTCCTCTTCTTCTTTCTTTCCAGCCCCTTGTCTTCCTCATCATCACTAACAGACTGAAGGTACTGTGCTGCTGCTGGATGTTAGGGTGTATTTTCATAGAGATTGTACACCTGAGCGCTGTGTGAACTGTTTTCTTTTCTGGCTGATGGTAGCAACTGTCCACTTGGTTTTATCTGTTTAAAAAATCAGTTCACAGTCTTAATCCAACTTAAATTGTTTTTGGATATCATGTGTGATATTTTTGCTTATGGTAATTCATGACACATTCTGATTTCCCCTAGAGTCCTTATTAATGGAAACCCATATTTAGGTGGAAATGCTGTAGAGTTCTTGATGCACAGAGCTGTAGATTTGACTGGTTTACTATCGGCACTTCTCTCATATGCTGGTGGAGTAGGTTGTTCCTGCACTTGCTGAGCCTGAAAAATTCAAGCCACTCCCCCCCCCCCTCTCTTTAATCTATTTTGTTTGATTCAGAATTACAACTGGTCTTCTTGGTTGTGATGGATGCCATCTTACCATCTGACAAGCCAGGCTCAGTCCAGATGTTGTATTAAATCATCTGCAGGTCATTGGTTTCTGGGAAGTGGCCACACACCATTACAAACAGGAACACTCCCAGTGACCATAATGGTTCTTATTGCTGTCAATGCTGAAAACTGTTTTTACTGCTTAATATTTTGTGGAAACCATGATATATTTGTTTAATGAATAAGAATTTCTTAAGAACAGCATTTATTTGAATTTAGGGTTTTTTTTTACTAAATTTAATATATTTGCTATAATTTTTGGTGATTCAGTACACCCTTCTAAATGATATTAATTCCTTTTGCATTAAAATTCTTTTACAATTAACCTAAAATAATCTTAATTACTCCAAACTTCTGACAGCCAGTGTATGTGAAGAAATAATCATATAAACACACATGCTAGTGTTCTCACATGATCTCATTTCTTTGCATGTATAAAGTTATTATTGCAAAAATAAATATAAGTGTTTAGCATTTTTAATCCAATAGTACCAAAAACTAGTGGTTGATTTATTCAGTTAATTCATTCCTCTGGAAATGGAAGGTCAAGTCAAGTGCATTGAATTCTTGAATAAAACATTCAAAGCAGTGTGCTAGTTGTATACCATTCGTTTTGGAAAGTTTCCTTTACTGCACATAAAATTATTATTTCAATCCACTCAGTGCAGAATACATTCTGCAAGCACAAAATACAGGAAAATGCAGTACAGAACAGAACATCAAAACAAATAGCTGATCAAAAACAAGCACTTTCTTCTGAACAGGCAGGAGAGGGCCGGTGGCCTTCAGTACCTGACAAAAAGGTAAACCGCTTTCAATACACAAAATTCAATGGTTTCGCCACTTAAAAGTGACAATGAAGAGTGACCTAAATGTTTTTACAGGAATTTGGTGCACTATTTTTAAAGGAATAACCTTCTGTTGCAGGAACAGTGGGATTCCTGGAGTCACACAATAGATTCCTCAAGGTCCTGTTCACTCTGTGAATCTGAGCCAACAGTAGGGTGGGGGTGTCTGGAAACACCTGATGCATAGAAAATACATTTAAACACAAAGTAGGTATAAAAAAAACAAGTTGATACACAAAACTCACTTTTTTCATCTCTCCTTTGTTGAATTTGTCTTGCACTTCCATGTAATTATCTAGGTTGGAACATAACTTCTCTCGCACCTGCTCTAAAGCCTGCAATCCCATCCACAGAAGATCCTTTTCCCTCTCCAAGTCCTTCAGCTTCTTCACCTGCAAATAAAACTCATGCTCTTACATTTTAAAAAGTTAAAGTTTTTGCATGATTATCAGCGACAATATTGGTGTTTGTTTCCATAGCTGCCTCAAAAAAAAAAAGTTTTCACAATTGCATTGTGTAGAGTAAACAAAATAAAAATAGATCACAGTGTGTGTGTTAAGTAGCTGTGAACTTTGAATATTCCCCTCAGAGCTAGACAGGAATGTCGTGACGAACTGTGATAGTTGACATCTGTGAATGAGAATAGTTGGTTTGAAAGAAATACTTGTGCAAATTTTACTCTAGTTTTAAAATTAGAGATTACAAACTTAATATACCATTTAAACTGCGGTACATACATGACTGAATTTATGCTTGTCACCCTTTCTAAACAATGTGAATGCGTTTAGTTCATCTAACAACATTCAGTTACAGTATATCTGAATCACTTCAACTAAAAGAAACAAAACACACTACAAATAAGCAAACAAGAAAAAACAAACTAACCCAGAGGAAGAAACGCAATGCATCCAGACTGGTAGGATTGTTCCTGAGAGGGACAATGACCACGGTGTAAGATGCCATTGGAGTTGCTAAGGAAAGCAAAGCTTTATATTTCAGGAGACAAGAAGAGAAGCAGGGACAAAGAAAGAGAGAATAGAATAACAGAGGCTGATGTTTTGCTGAAACCCCACCCTAGTGACAGATACACCTATGCGTACAGCTACTAATAAAGAATGACAGAAACCTTCACAAATGCAAACAGTAAAACTGTATTAAAATCACTTTCCACATTGAACAAATGTAAACTGGCATTTAACAATAACACATAAAACACTTTTCAAGTTGCATCACAGAACAACCTCTTAAACATTCAAATGTCAATACAAAACAATGTAAAAACAGCTCAAACCTGTTAAATGATGAGATCTTTAGGTAATTAAATGTAACAGTTCAACATTCAATCTTTTAGATATTTTAAATGATTTTAACTTTAACAACGAATATTTTATCCTTCATTATCAGCCGTCCACCCATTATTTGTCCTTCTCTCTGTATGTGGCGTTCTCCTCATTGAGTGGGTATGGTGTGAGGTCCAGGGTGAGCAGGCGGCTAAACATGCACTCATCAAACTGTGACCACAAGCAGCAAAAAAAAAAAAAAAAGCATGACAAATGAGACAATTAAGATCTAAATAAAATGAATCAAAAACGACCCCTTTAGACTTTTAAATAAACTTGCTAAACAGATTTTGTAAACATTACAATAAAATATTATTTTTGTCCAATGCGTTGTGATTGGCCGAATACCTCAAGCGTGAGACAAATGTTACGCCCCTCACATACTGTTGATGCCGTGTCGGGGCCGGAGCGACGAGACAAAACCATTAAAACCCATTACAAACGAGGCATTTGTTGCATCCAGTGGGGACATAATTACT